TCGAAGAAATTTAAATTCTTCATGACGACCTCAGCTAAATATCGGTACTTTGCATGCGGTATTCAGCCCTTTTTCAGTTCTGTCTGGTTATCCCGAAACTACCTACCTTTCTTCAGGGGAACTTTTTCTGACCCAATTATCCCATATTAATTCCACATATTCCTCCATTCCGTTGCAACGTTAGGCTAACCACAGAATGGACTGTATGACGTCCATCATGATATACAACTGTTTTAGCTATAATAATCACACCATTATTAACCCATTAACGGAAAATAGGAGTGAACCAGTTCGAATACAGTCAGAAGGAAATAACATCTAAAATGAGTGAAATACCCGTTACGGGATATACTCGAACATTGACTTCCCATATTCAAACTGATTGTTCGTTGTGCAATCTATTCATGATCTTCTATTGAGAACACGTATCATTAGCGTCTGTAGACGTTTATTCGTTTGTTCGCTTCTGTTGTTATCAGTGTATGTTCAAACTTATTGATGTATTCGTCATGACCGTTGTTGGTCGCGATGCTATCACGTGATTCATAAACCATGCCTTTTTTCAATTTAAAATGTCTGAGTATCAATTTAATATTTCATGTTGCCATGTGGATAGTACGATAGTCCGATTACGCCATCGTTTCACATTGTCTTGTACTTTTTGTGATGATCTTGTTGTCATGTGTAGTCCATCCGCGTGGTGAAGGCACGCCTGCTGCACAGCCGAAGTTCACTGGGTCTGCTAAAGACTCTAANNGGTCTCTTGTTGCGGTGACCAATCCGACCGATCGATAAACGAACCCGATCGGTCGTGTGGTTTTCGGGCCGGCATAGGAGGAGGAACGTTCTGAATCGGATGCTACTTAAGTTGGTAGGGAATCACCACAGGAGAATGGGTTATGGAGCGATGCGCCATGTGGGAGACTTGCAATTAGATACTCGTCTTAGGTACATGCACTATCTTTTTAAGCGGGTTCTCGCGCAAAGTTTCCGGTAGGCGTGAGACGGGAGTTTACTTGGAAGAAATTCACTCTTGTTCGGCCAATCGAAGGCCATAGACGCCAGCCAACAGGAATTACGGCAACTCTCAATTCATAAACTAAAAGTGCATCTCACAAACTGTCCTTAGACTCGGGTTGCGATGACTTTTGGCATGTGACCTGTCTGATTTCATCGGTACTTTTGGACATGAGAGCATCGTTCATTCATTCACCCAGGCGCGTACTCGTGACGGTGTTTACCGATCGCTCGGATCTGACATCTCACCCCACTCACCCGCTTACCAGTCAGTCGCGATTATCGTTCACCCGTTTGCACGTTAGTGCGACAGAGCCCATCCATAGACCGAACGGCCTTGGCTTTGGTGACCACTGTAGCAAAAATGACCACATTCGAGTGACCCGCAGTTGAGTTCAGTGCCCCACAGCATTGCAAGAAACTTTCCAGATTACAAAGACGTAATTTAACAAAATCATAAATCCTCGTTTATCTCAGCTTGGCTCTCCTTTGGAAATCAACAAACGCGCTGTTTAAATCAATTGTGCACTCCAATAATCTACCCGAACTCNAAAAAGAGACTTGATACAAAAATTTTAAATAACCCACTTCTTCATCATCAAATTCCAGACAGACGATTTCTTCTTCCAAAAGATGGTCATCAATAGACACATAATGAGTGAAGTCCTCGATCAAATCGCATTTATCCTCTGGTGGCTGCATTGCCGGCTTAATCAATGTGGATTTGAACCCAGCTTTCATGAAAGCGTTGATCAGTACGTGCGGTGCACAGATACCAGATGCACAGCCATAAGAATGTCTTTCTGGGCTTTCATGGTAGGTTGCTCATCTTCGATCAAAGACAAAACATATCCCAGCAAATATTTCCGAAACTAACATTTGAAAGTCTAAATCACGCCCTGATCCATGGGTTGTAACATCGATGGCCAGTTCGGAGGCAGCCGTAACAACTTGACGTTGGGAAATACCGCGGCTTGGTTATGACAAGGGGCGTTCTCCATAAATAGTAAAATAGATCGCCTTTGAGTAACCATTTCGTGGTTGATATAGGACAGCCAACTGTGAAATGACGTAGAAGTCATCCATGCGTTCTTTGAAGAATTATGACTGCATGGAGGGCTTTTTCCATCTATACCTCGGAGGCATCGTTGAGTTTGAAACTTTCCAATCACCAACGGTGACAACTTTTCCCCATTCATTGGCCCACAAAGCAGTAACTTGGCCCTCTGTTTGGATTTCTTGCACCCAGAAACTGTCTTTCCTTTCAGACTTAATGTTCTTTCTGGGAGCTGCATGTAATTCAAAGCTGTTTCATCTACATTGAAAATACCACAGTCTGCATATCCATGTATCAACTGCGGTAAACGCGCTCAAAACTCGTCCACTGCATCATGTGGTGCCGCTAAGGTCTCCCCACAGACTCATAAGGTAAGGCAAATGAGTTGCTTGTTTCTTACTGTGTACGATTAAATACCATATCTGTCTGACCAAGAGCGAAACCGACCTTTGGAAGCCTTGAAGTCATTATGATGCAATCTTTGTGCTAGCTGGATTGCCTTCTTACGTACAAAACTCTCCGTGCTTTTCCCTCATAGCGGAAAACTAAGCCAAAGTTGCCTTATTCACTGCCTTGAACTTTTCGTTGGTTTTCAGGTGGCATC